CCCACCCTGGACCCTCTCGTTGGTTTCAATTCACATTTAACATTCAGAGGTCAACAAGAGGAAATGAAAGTGGTTGGAAACACGACTTTAAGAAGTCACAACGACAAGTTTGTTACTAGAGAGAAAAGCAGAGAGTAAATAGAAAGATGAAGGTATGAAGAGACTGGTCACTTATGTTTTTTATGGCAGTGACAATATCATGAAAGAAACGAAGATACGGCTTTAGAAAAGCCAGTTCAGGTCTCAGTATATGACACTGACTTCACTTGCTGTACAAGACAGAACGTGGTGGTGACGGTTCGTAGTGGCCACGAGGTTACCTGCCTCGAGACTGGGTGAGTGAAATCAATACTGCAGCCTTACTTATATTAAATTCACTGCAGTGCATGGCCGATTTTGATGCGTTATCGGATTTGAACCGAAGTTTCCGGAGATGTAACCAGTTTTGAGGGGTCCAGACGGACAATAGTAAAATTCAGAAATTTCAAGACTTGGATCTCCCGAACGCTTTCGACGATGTATTTAAATGTTTTTTTTATCGATATTAGTGCACCGTTAGCTGATAGAAGTCACTGGAGATCTGGTACTATCTGATAACAAAAAGTTCAAGAAAATGTTTAAACCCTAGAGACACAACAATTTGGAAAATATAAAAAGCCAAACTTATTAATCCAAACATTGTTAATAGATATTTTTAAATCACGGAACTTATGGTGGTCTGGACATTTAAGCGGGATGTGGGAGTCAACAAACGCATGCAGATTTTTTTTTCAAAGGAAAATCTCTTGGAAGCGGTCCATTTTGAAAACTGAAATGGAATTGGAAATATTATTTTGAACTGGGTTTCAGGAATCAGAGATGCAGTGTTGAACCTTTGGAGTTTTCTACCTGCGACTTAGATTTCTTTTACTCGTTCGCACATCATATTGATTATTTATTCTAAGATGTCACGCTGCATAGCGTATCACGGTATATCCGCTTTAAAATATGTGTTGTTAGACATGAACATATTCATCGAATTCGTATTTGTTTCGGAAGTTCTCCATTAGCTGCCATTCGTTTGTATTAAATTATCAATGTAGATTTCAGTCTTATATTTTAGTACAAGCACAGTAATACCGATTAATAGTTTATTTTAAAACAAAATTTGATTATAGTTTTATGATAAGTGAAACATGGTCAGGTAGAGTATTTTGAAGAATAAAATATTGACAACACAGTGACAGTGATACAGAGAAAGAATGTGTTCGTGATTCTTAGTTTAAAACTTCTAGAGAATTTCTGTGTTCCGGAGTGCAGTATTTTGCTAATGAAACAGAAACTGTAAGCCTACTGGAGGGTCTTACTAGGTGAGGTTTCAGCGAATGTTGAGATGACTCTTTTGTGGGATGTTTCGCTGTGTCGTCTGGTAGAATTTTTTACCGATGTTTCAGACGTGCTTGCTGCCTCCATCATCAGGAAGATGATCGCTTTTATGATGGAGGCCGTAAGTACCTCATAAACGTCGGTAAACTTCAACAGGCCGCAATATTCCTTCTTACAGGCATCTGAAAGGTTGTTACTGTCGACAGCCTTAGGGGCTTAAGCGTAGTATGTTCGCTTGTTGAAAGAACCTGTAACCGAACTTGTAGCATGTTGGGTTTGAAGTTGAAATGTCTAATACACATGCGTGTTTTAGTATTGACTTTAACTCCGTGCTAATACGCCTACTTGTATAAGTGCCGACTGTGGATATAGTACTAGACAGTGGAAATTCAATTCGGTTTAATTTGAATTGAGTTTACAAATGCAGTTATTGTGTGATGAATATTATTATCTGTTCTTTTTTTCACCCAAAATTTCTTGTGTCTGTCATTGTCGAGATATTTATCGTGAAGATATAGGAAGAGAAAAGTTGTCGGCCGTATTCAACTTTCTGAATGGTCTGAGTAAACGTGAGTGAAAGTCAGTCCATGAAGTGTAAACGGTCCGTGACATCAAAGATTTTAAAAGAGTCTGTTGATTAATGGATGTTATTGTATTCATTATTAATGACCAGAGTTCGCTTTACTTGATGTTATAAAATTCTTTCAGTACGATCTCTAAACTACGAATCTCTTTTATTGCAGTTTTTCGATATTAGCTTTGACAGGCCATTGCAACTAGATTTTACCATTTAGAAATAGATATTTTCGCTAAATAAAACATGGTTATCACTTCTAAGGTTTAATATTAAATAAACAAGTCTGTTTTTAGAATACGTTGATAAATCAGTAGGTATTGTAACCGCCTTTAATTTGACATCTGTGAATTTTTAAATAAATTTTAATATTTATCTAAAATATGTAAAATCCACTATCGAACCCCGGTCGTCCAGTCCGTAGTCATTTACTATACCAACTAGGGTTTGTCGGTTTTTAAAAACCGGTTTTTTTTAGATATATTTGTAAAATTCGAAAACCGGTTTTTAAAATTTAAAAAACCGGTTTCAGATACTGGAATTAATGTGGAAAAATTAGTTAATTAATTAATTAATTAAAAACGTTAAAATTTTGACTTGAAATTGCCTCGGGCACAAGCATATTGTAGTAAAAATCTTCATGAGTCAGAGGCGAATGTTTGACATGCAAATCCACAAAAGCATTCTATTTTTAATTTCATGAAAAAGAGCAGTTTAGAAGAAATTACAGCAAAATTTGCTGCAATGGATGGATTGTCCATTAATAGCATTACAACAAGCTCGTTCATACGAGAGTCTTTGCAACTAAGGGGATATTCATTACCAAAAAACAACTCTCGAGTAATGGATCTCATTCATAAGTTTTATGGCAATGCCAAACGTGAAATTATAAATGAATTGGATTATATTAAGAATAATGGGAAAAAAATTTCTATAACTTTAGATGAGTGGACTAGCAAAAGAAATCGCAGATATTTGAATATCAACGTACACCATTTTGCGGAATATTTTAATTTGGGCTTAGTTCCTCCGATGCTAAGAAAACATTAGAATTAGTTTCTGAGAGGCTACAAATTTTTAACTTGGATCTAGCAAACGACATAGTTTATAATTCATATATTGTACGGATTTTAGTTATTTTAGTTTTTTTATTTGGTTTTGTATAGAGTATATTTTATTTTGTTATATTTTTGTAGTTCCATAAATATTAAATAAACTGAAAAAATTAAAATAAGTATAAATATTTTTTTAATGTTTTCACTATTTTTTGTTTTGTTTTTTGTAAAAATTCGAAAACCGGTTTAACCGGTTTTTTGGAAATACTGGAATTCGAAACCGGTTTTTTCAAAAGTCGGTTTTTGTATAAACCCTAATACCAACTGAGCTACCTCGGCTCTCGCTTACATTAGTATACTCCTGTAAAAGTTGCACGTGAACTTCAGATCATCACATTTTCATCATTCTTTTTCCATGTGTTTGGTAGACGAAAGTTTGTTTGTCGCCTTCCACCCCCACACGCATAAGAATGTAAACTACACCTGTCAAATATAACTTTTATAGAGACAAGCCTTACAAATCAAGCATATTTTTTGAGTTATGAACTTCTGTAACTCAAAAGATAGAAGCAATAGAGAAGAGCCATTATTTCCATTACAGGCAACTCTCGGTTTACGAACGCTCGATTTACGAACATTCGCTATAACGAACGTCGCAATTCATTCAAATTTTTTTAAAGTCGCCAATAGATAGAGTTCCTTATAAAACGAGGTGTCAAACGTATAGTGAACATAATTGTAAGATTTAGATAAATAAACTTTTAAAAAATGTATTTATTATAATAATTATAAAAAATTATTATATTATAATTATACTGAACTCTTCTTGGTTAATAGAACTAATCTAGCCGGTATAAAAACTTTGGTTTGCATGCCACGCCGCGTAGAATGTTTTCTCGTGGGAAATAAATCGGTGATTCCCCCTATTATAATATAATAGGATCATCACTTGCTTTGCCTATGTTATCTTAGACGGTCAAGTGTAGTTCTGCATTTGGTGACTTAAAAATATATTTTTAAAAATTTAAGCCGTTAAGGGTCCAAAGCGAGATACACATAACGAACAAAAACGTATAACGAACAACATCTTGGAACGGAAATGGTTCGTAGACAGAGAGTTGCCTGTACTTAATTTTGCGTTATGAATTATGGCAAACTAAATGGGATCAGAAAATGCTCTGGGTGTTGATTTATCCTTACGAAAATGAACATGTTAAAAATGTCATCAGAGTTTGCTTTTCTCCATAGTATCTGTACCTTTTATATGCTCCTATACCAGCGATTTTTCCAGTTCACTGAACCTGTCGTCAAAGAAATTAGCGCTGTATTCGCAGCCAACTGCTTTTTCCACAGGTTGGAGTGAACCGAAGACTAGGGCGATGGCTTGTTTAACGACCCACCTTGTAGCTGTGAAGTTTTCCGTGTGCGAATATAAACTTGCAGTCTGACTTAAAAAACCGTTCAACCGCGTATCTCCACATTTGTATATTGGCATGGCACGTCCTTATGTGAGATGGAGGAGACGTCTTTAGAATATACTGAATAAGCAATCACGAACAGCTGACAAGAGGTGGTCTTCTAGCTTCGGACTGGGCAGGGACCTAAAATTTCGTAATCGTAAAAAAATAACATGTTGAATTTTACACAGGGTCTCAGGCTTAAACGGATTTTTTTTTTGGAGATTTAAGCAATGAAAATTCGGTGGTTCCAGGGTAAAGGAGTTTAACTTCATAGCGATATATAACTACGTAATTTAGTAAAACTTTAGCGGAATTTGCAGCACTGTACAGCATTCCTCATAACGATGATAGTTCGATGTACTACCGCGTCTCTATTTTAAACATAATTTACAAACTCAGTAGAGTCGAATTTTAATAAAATAATGCATTTTTAAAATGTTATTTTCATTTTCTGTTGATCTCTCACTTTTGTGATGGGTCCTCTGTAAATTAAGACCATAGGCGTAATTATGATAAAGTTTTGTGAGGTGTTTCGATCTGTTTTAGGACTGGTGCAATAAAGGTCCGAATCCTAGGCCTGGGTGCCCCCTTTCCCGTGGTAACCATGGCTATCGGCTGCGGACTGAAGTGCTCCAAGGGCGTTCTCCTTTCTTTCAACATTGTTTTCTGGGTAAGTCATTAAACTCTTGGGAGCACACTGATATTCCACATTTCACATATGTCAATACCCTAGTTTACGCTTACGTAAATGAGTACGTGTCTGTGAGCAGACATATTTGAATACAACATTTTTGTTACATGCGTGAACGTTACCTTGTTAAAATATTTGCCTCAAATAACGCCACCGTTGTTGCTGTACGTTTCTATGTCGGAGTGGATAATGAAGCGGGATTTTAACTGCGATCATTTCCCAGAATGCCGGATATAGATTCTTACTGAAGATCAAAATCTATTTGTCGAACAGCTTGAACTCAGTTCCAGAAGAGGTCATTTGATATAGACCCCATGTAAGGTGTAAATTATTTTTTCAAAACTTTGTAATAGTGGCTAATTCATTACACCAATATTATGGTGGACATTATCCATTGTCTGAGTACAATGTTTCGGGTGTTAGTTCTGCTGCTATCTGCAGGTAACTGGTTGTCATACTGACGAGAGTTTTGCTATTATTTATCTACGGTTGGCGCCAAACATTCCAGGGCCGCCCTAGTGTGCCCGCATAATATTTATCGTGTTTTGTTACGCAATGTTTTAATATGTAGGATGAAAGTACGTTTTGTCTGTATTTCGTGTCCTCGGTTTTCTTTTGCCTCAGAGATGTTCCGCTGACAACGGTTATGTAAACAACTTATTTTTCCGAATATCTTGTTTTAAAATGTTGTTTTCATGTTAAATTTAATTATAGCGATGTTTGAAAGATTATGGTTTGCAGATTGATAAGTTTCGTATGGGTGAGCTACTTAAGTAGATGATGGATACTAAGTTGATTATGAACGCGGAGGAAAATGGAGTGAATATGGAAGACGGTGAAGAAAGCTTCTTTTATGTTCTCACTAAGTGTAATTGTCAGGTTCTGCGGCCTTTGATTAAGAATTCTGCGTGGCGTGGCGCATAAGTAAGCGAAATTATAACTTTATTTGTAAGTACTCCTTTGATGTTTACAGAGACGACATTGTCTCTGTGATTGTGGCTGGTAATTTAAAAAGGATTGAAAAGATAGAGGCTTCTTTTTAAAAAAAAGCTCTATCTAAATCACGAAAACAATGCAGCATAAGATTTAGATTGCTGTTAGGGGCTAAGAGTTTGAAATGTTTTGCAATAATTATATGTCTTAGAAATATTATGTGACGCCATTGTAGTTATTTTACATATTTAAATTCATAACTGAAACATGACCCCTGATTCGTCTGCAGCGCTGACGATAAGCAAGTGATAAAATGGTGGTTACAGTTTTTATATTTGATCTAGTCTGTTGTTTTATGCAGGTGTCTGGCTGTATAATGCTCGTCGTGGGTATCTGGATGATCTTGGATCCCAAAAAAACACACCTGTTCAGTCTCACGTCGACAGACGATGTGGCACCCGATCTCCTACAGTATCTGGCCTACGTCTTGGTGGCCATAGGCTGTCTCATTGTTCTCGTCGGCTTTTGTGGATGCTGCGCGTCTCTGTACGAGCGCCGATTTCTGCTAATAACGGTGAGTTGGAAGGACCGACAGCTGTCGTGGCGGCTATTGGTTGAATGTAACAAAGCTGATACTTAACACGGTCCGGCAAATTACTATTCCGAACATTGTTTTCCGACAATTTAAAATGAAATGTAGGCTGACCCACGACATGATTAATGTCAGGTGAAATGAAAACCAAACCCAGTTTAGCCTGTAATGACAAGTGTAGCAGGCTATGTTCATTGGGTTATTGTTTTCCTGTACAGTCTCAGAGGAAATTATTTATCCTTTGTATATCAAATATAAAACAAACATTTTTAATGTCCTTGCCTGTTCATGTTCGCATGACCTAGGGCTTTTAATACTGAGGTTATTCGATCAGTAATTTTAAATAAAATTACAAAAGGAATGGAATTCCGACGTACAAATTCAGGTTTGTGAATATAAATTGCCCAGACAAGGTTCTCAGTGTAATATTTACTGTGATACATTCTTCTAATTTTAGCACATGTTTAATCCGTTTGAGTGGGTTCTCTCGCAGGAAGCATGTAGGTGACGAGGGGTTTCAACTATTGTTTCATTACGAAGGGCTACATGTATGAAAGAAACGCAGCAAACATAATTTCTATGAGAACTTTGAACTTTCATAATTTTATACGTAACTTTAGAAACACTAACTTTTAGTATGACATTTTTTCTCTTTATTTAAAAACTTGTTGCACAGAAGAAGAAAAATGACGTCATACAGTTCGTTTTGATAACTTTAAATGCATCTGCAGATGAGATCTTTCCTTTACAGTACATGTGAAGTGCAAAGACAGTTCAGAAATTTAATTACTGGCTGAGTGTTTTTAACATACTGGATGTTTTCACACGAATTTATAATTTTATTCCTTCATTTTATATGAAGTACAGAGTGTCCCGAAAAGATGTGTACACATTATAATTCGAAATATTAACTTTGTTATTGATCATCTATGCCACGAAGTCAACGGTGGTCATTTTGAACATCTACACTGAATTCGCTAAGTCACTAAGTGCAAATGCTAACATTTGGTTTATTACTTAAGTACATATTTTATCATCGTCAAATTTGTCTAAGAAGTCATCGCCGCAACAAGCACCTCTGACACGTCGGTAAACGTCTGTCAGACAACAAACCAGAAGACGGTTGGTTATCTTCACACTCGATGACGTAAACCCAGACATTTCGCTTTGTGTGCAAGCTGTTTTTAAATATAAGTAAAATCCGTTTCGTTATAAACTTACTTGCCTTCAGAAACATGAGGCTGTTTCTCTTCTGAGCAAAATATGCCCACCTAATGAAGTAAATGGAGCATTCGTATGGCATGTCAGAACCTACTTTGGATATGGAACGCCTACGTATGTTCCGTGACCAGATGTTGGTCTTACTGATGGTCCATCAGCATTTGATTCAATAACACGTTCTTGAATTCTCAGCAAGCTGTTTACGAGGTGCGATCGGAAAGTTTCAAGCCTGCGCCTATAAAAACCCGTACACTTATTTCAGGTATTAAATTCATCCATCACCCTCGAAGTAGTTCCCCTGGGAGTGAACACAACGATCCCAGCGCCGCTGCCAAGCCTGGAAGCATCCCTGGAAATCTTTCTTTGTCAGCCTGTCAAGCACCATCTGCGATTCTGCCTGAATCTCTTCTATCGTCTCAAATCTCCTTCCCTTTAGCTGAATTTTCATCTTTGGGAAGAGGAAGAAGTCACACGGAGCTTAGAAAGGAAGTTGGGGTCGGTTCTTGCAAGATCTTTGAGCTCCTGACAAACGAGAAGTCGATTCTGCTTCTGGTCCTCTGACAGGATGCGTCGCATGTGGAGTTCTTCCTTTAGAATCAGCTGACAGGTCCCATAGCCTATCCCAGCAATGTCGCACAAGTCGTTGATGGTACGACGTCGATCTTCGTGAATGGCCTGCCGAATCTTCGTACCATTTTCGGGCGTTGTGCTCGAAGATGGTCGTCCAGAACGCTCGTCATCATCGACAGCGGTTCGGCCATTTTTAAAACGTGAATGCCACACAAAAGTTTGTGCACGACCCATTTCGAAGTATTTCCCCAAATGCTTGCTTTAGCATTTCATAGGTTTCTGTAGCCGTTTTGGCGAGTCTTTGGCCAAATTTGATGCACACGCCATTCCGAAATCGCAGGAGGGTCGGTGTAATGCACTACCAAAACGCCCGTAACTAAGAAACAAATGCTAATTCGATGATGCCGGCTGGCACATTGATTCACTATGAATGTAGGCCGCACCCCCTAAAGGCAGAAGCTCGTACTACATCCGGTTCGCCCTCTATTGACACAGTCTTTAAACTTTCCGATCGCACCTCGTATAATAAAATATTCTCGGGCTACTACCCTGAGGACGAGGACGAAGATGGTTCTCGAAACGTTGGTGTTTCCTTCATTAAGCCATCTTACGTGGCTGGTAGCCCGAGAAGAATTTTTTAGCTTACATGTGCCATAACCTCATTTATTTTGTATGGTTTTTCTGCGCATCAGTTCTCACGCATCACACACTCTGTTCACTTGAACATAAAGTAACTGAAGAAATGTAAGATTGAGATGTGCAGAACATGTAGCACGCAGTAGGGTATGAGACGTAGACTTAGGCGTGGATAGGATGGTAGTATTCAAATGAATCTTAAACATTTTTGGGGCTGTTAATTGGAATCATCCGATTGAGTGTAGGGTCCAGTGGCGGGCCATTTTTGAAACCGGTAATCAGTGTTATGGTTCCATAAAAAACGGGAAATTTATTAACTATTTGGCCCGCTATTAGCGTCTCAAGGACTGCACCATTGAGTTATGTAATGGCAACATACTGTGTCCAGGTTTCCCCGCCTTAAATCGAGTGTTACACGTGATATTAAAAAAACATCGAATTATTTTGATTGACGTAGTGTAGTTCACTATATTTTTGATTCGCCAAATATGAAGTGTGATATTCTCTTGTATTTTCGTGTTCTCAAACATCGTACACTGTACTCAGTTGTTGTTTGGTTTATTAGAAACATAAACATGAACTTTGCTTTAGAGCGAATGATGTTTTGTTATTTAAATTAATTCGTTGTTTACTTTAAAGCGGATTAGGGATCAGAATTAGTTCTTGTAGGATCATTCGACGGAAGAGGATACCAATCTGCCTGCAGAGGACAGAAAGGAGGGCCGGTATTTAAACTCATGTTCTTAGTGCGTTATTACTCCAAAACCATGCGCGCCATGGGACCACGCTCCCGAGATCGTCCAATCGTCATCTCGTGTTTGTAATATATTCGTTTCGTCATTAGTTAAAATTACATTTCCTCGTAATGTAACATTTTGCATGAGGTTATGCAGTGTAACGAAGACTTGCGTTCTGTTTCAGTACTTTGTTTTCCTGTTTATGTTGCTGTGTGCCGAGTTATCGATTGCAGTGACGACTCTCGGATACCGAGAAGATTTTCTCACCGGCCTGGAGAACAGACTCCTGAATCGGTTCAGAGATGAGTATGGCAGAGACTCCAATGATGTCTTCACTCAGGCCATAGATCAAGCACAATTTACGGTAAGTGCATCTTACTTGTTTCACCTATGCCTTTAATTGCGTTTAGGTTATGTTTGCTTTCTCATATGCTGAATAGATGAGACTGGTACGTGACTTTGTAGGTGCATTGTGTTTTTCGTAATTCTGTTCATGCAAATGTTGACATAATACCCTAAACGCCACAACCGCCTCCTTTTTGGCGGTTATAATCGTATTCCACGCTACTATGTATAATTTATCGCCGATTTTTGTGTAGTACCCGTGCCGTAGAGGCAACTTCTCTGGCACATACGAAAAGTAAGAAGTCTAACCATAATTCCCGCTGTTATTCTCCGGATTATAACGGGATTTAATGTGAGTGTGTAGTAGATCAAGATGAACCCAGCAGAAACTTCCTTTCTTCCTAAACGCATTAATTACAGAAGTAACAATGTGACAAAGGAAATGTAAGGTTTGTTTTATTTAAATTTTGTAACTTGGTAGGCACTAGAAATACGTATTTGTTGGATTATTACACTGGATTGTGCTTAAAAGTTTTGTTCTTACAGACAAAAACTATTGTTAGGATTACTGAATTCTTGGTCTTGTCCATTGTGTGCTATTAAAAAATTGTTCATCCCATTATAATTAATTTAATCTTTTTAATCTGGATAGCCTTTATTTTTGTTGAGAGGGAGGGAGATGATATTTTAACAAACCTAGTCATTCTGTGTGATTTAATAAACACCTCTTTTCTTAGTTGAAAACAAGATTGCAGATTTTACACAACTTTTCCCTGTAAGAATTTAATTATATAAATTGCAAAGCTAGCTGCATTACTAACCCCATATTATTCTCATAACTCAGGACCACGTATGACAGGACATAATAATCCAGAACGCAATCCTCAAAGAAATTATTTATGTGAATTATACATGAAATTTTGTCATTTATTACAGTTTAACTGCTGTGGTGTCCTGTCAGACACTGATTACATAAACACAAAATGGCGAAATGAAAGTATTGGGATTTCTAATCGATCCAGAATCAACGTGCCTCTCACATGCTGTGTGCTAGCCAACCCAGATGTGAGTCATATAACTATATATACTATGAATTAAATTAATTAAAAAGGAAAATAAAGTTCTCAGTTTTGTTCTAAAAATGTTTTAGGATAATGTTCACAAAATAAAGTTAGGCGAGATTTGAGGTTCTTAAAGTGACAGACTGCCATCTGGGATGATGTGCTGATTACTCCAATCGTGGAGGCGGTAAGCACCTCTGAAACGCTGGCAAACTTCTACCAGACTACATGGCACAATATTCCAGAAAACAGCCGTCTTCAAAATGAAACTAATTTTACTTTTTCACATTTAAGAAGTAATAACAGGAAATCGTATCCTCGTAAGATGGTTACTGAAACGATACATTTACAGTCTTGGTATTTTTTTCAGTTTAAAAGTATATTTCCGTAAACTTCTTCTAATTTAAAATTACTGTTATTTTTTATGTTGTTAATAAACCTTATACTGTTCTCTGAACTTAGTCCAGCAGGCTTGTTTAAAATTGATATTCGCATTTAGATTTGATGCTTACATTGAAAATTATTCACAAAACATTCCATGAGTGACACATTTTAGCTTTAGTGATATAGAAATGTTTTCTCATGCGTTGTTAAATTTGTGTTCCTGCTGTTAATTTTATAAATATTATCACTGCCTCTATTTCTGGCCTCCATCTGAAAGCTTCACAGTGAACTAAGCTTTTTAACAGCATACATTTTCTTCTAAATTGCTACATTTTATACCAGTATTATTGGCATCATCAATACTGGATAATGTTGGGTTTTGATACCGAATCTTCAAAGCTGGGTCAGCTCAGTCAGCTCAGTCATTATATTGATTAAGCTGTGGGTTGGATGACTAGGGTTTGATTCCCAGGAGGGTAAGAGTTTTCTCCTTGCCACAACATCCAGACCAGCTCTGGGGCCCACGTAGCCTCTTATCCAGTTTGTACCAGGGTTATTTCCTCAGGAGTAAAGTGGCCAATGCACAGTTTATCTCTCTGGTACCAAGGTTAAGAATACATGCCTCCACTCCCTCATACAGGGTGATTCAGGGCCAAACTGAAGGAGCGTATAGAGCGACTCGGATAGAACAACTTTCGAATAGGAATCCGTGTCCTCCGAAGTTATCCTGAGTCAGTCGAGGCCATTGAAGGTAGAGAAGTCTGATACCGCTGAAATAATTGTACTTTGCTATTCTTCTACTAGCTTAATTTTGTTTTTTATTAATGTAAAAGGATTTCATTAGCAATCTTACAAACCAAATTATTTCAGTGGCCTCGACTGACCCAGGATAACGTCGGAGGACACGGATTCCTATTCGAAAGTTGTTCTCTCCGAGTCCCTCTATGCGCTCTTTCAGTTTGACTCTAATCTTTTGAATCACCCCCTGTATGTGTGTGTGCATACACACACACATACAGTGTGGCATGTATTTAATAACTAGGGGTAATTTACTTTTACCCTTCTTAAAAATCATACATATGAGTTCATAAAAACTGGAACTCTGGAGCACTTTTGTTTTGAAATGTGGCAGAACATACGTAACATTTTAACTTGCGGCAATGCTCTTAAAGTCTAAAAATATTTTAGTCGAATATCAAGGAGTGCTTTATTGTTCTCTAGTTCCATTGCTCCATCCTGTTTGCCATTTAGGTTACCAATGCTGGAAGTCCAATTATTGTAGTATCAAGATTTTTCAGCGGAACCGTAAGTAGTTGACTCAGTCCCGGAGTTCATATGCATGTTTACTGTGGTGTATGTCTCCTTTGGCGTTTTAGTTGTGCAAGTGTCTACATTTCTTTTGTGTTAGTATTGTTTCAAGTTATTTATTTTACCTGGTAAATGCCTAATCCTCAAATGTCAATTTTATTGTCATAATCAGCAATTAAAATTCCCATACATGAAATTAAGTGACAGTTTTTGAAGTGGTTTGAATATTAAATGATAAAACAAACAAAAAATTATGAATCTCTTGGGAATCTGTACCCCAGAATATTTTGTAACAAGTTTCTCAAAAATGAATTGTGAGATTACATACAGTACATAAAACATGTATCATAAATTTATTTGTACACATTGTGATTATGTGTTTGTCTTCTGAGATGAATAGATATGCACTTAAATCTTTCCCCTAGTTGGTCAGCTCATATTCTGTCATATCTTCTCAGATTTTCTCATGCTATGTTTCATAATACCAAAAAGAGTGTTCAGAAATTTAAAATCTATCAGACGTTTATAGTTGGACCAAGTTTCAGATGAACATGCAGACACAGCATGTGGAAATGAACTGACAGATATGATGTATCCATGTAGCATGACTTGTTGTATGCCGAGGCTTATGTAACTCCTTAAAATACAGGTAAAATAAAGCCTTTAATTAGAGTCTTCTTCCATTACTACAAACAGCTGTACATTGTGTGTAGTTAGCTATAAAACGTTTTAAGTATTGTATTTTCTGCATTCTCCCAGTTCTATGTGAATTATCTTATATCCCTGAATATGTTGAATTTCTGATCATTCTGATACTTCCAGCCCAGGGCCCATATCCCATTTCATCCCAGTATTTGAGATGAAGAAACTGGTTCACAAACACGAGGACGACTCGGCATATTCATATATGTTTGCCTTATATATTGAGTGTAAAGAATGCATAAAAAATTTGTGTTATGGGATAAAATGTTTTCTCAACAAGAGTGAGCTGGCCTAATGTAGAAAAAATACCTGACCTCAGAACATCTAGACCTCAAGCTGTATTTTGATTGATAGAGTTTCTTTGATTATGACATGAATCTCCTCATACGTAATGACTATCCACGTCAGTAAGTTTTAAGAAATGTCATGTTCATTGAAATTTGAATGTGAAGTTAGAGGATATATAGTACAGGTGTCTGGCCCTAAATGGTAATGAAATAAATTAATGTATTTGTGAAATGAAATAGACATTGGAGGAAAAATATACTCACTACATCAGAAAGTGACTGGTTTGTTTGTCGGTTGTAATTGTAAAACCATGTTAGAAATACATTTAGTTATGTTTAACTGAATCAAAGAGCATGAATTTACATGTTTGTTATCAGGTAAGACAGGAAATATCTCGTGACCGCATGGTCCTCCATCATAGGATGACGTGCAATGTACATGCGAAATGTTTCAGAGATCCCTTCAAATCTGTTCTCAAATTAAGCTCAAAAATTATGCTTGTGTCATTTTATTACGTAAAAGAGACAAAATTTCATGTGTACAAGCTTCAGTTGGTTCAGATCTTGGATCAAGAAGACTATTTGCCTTACACCACATTGCTGCGCCGCATTGAGGAGGATGAGGTGACCAAGTTTGTTCTTCCGATGAGGCAATGTTTCACGCATGTAGAATAACCAGCAGACACATTTAGTTTGTATGGGGAATTACAATTCTTGTGAAGTCATTAAACATGAGCATGAATATCATATGTGTTATGTAAGTAATGGTCCACATATTCAGGTTTACTGAACAGATGAGAAGAGTTCTAAATTTTTAAAACTTTTTTGAGTGCACAGAATGAGTAAAGATGTATGCTGTTAATTTTTTTTTATATATATTTTGTGCCTGACACCTGTTTATGCTTCACACCCTCCTCTCATGAGGAAGCATTAAGGAAAGGTAATGAGATGCCATAAAAATGATTGAAAACCTTTATTAGTTTCCTGGAGTTTTGACCGCATTAATTATACTAATATTCTAATACTACTACTAGTATTAATGTAATAATATAGATTTGTGTCAGTCATAACACATTGGTACTCACTGTTACAGGTTGAAGAATCCTGGCAACATCCGCAGCCAATGGATGAAACTGCATGCCAAAATACTGGAGTTGATAGACACCATCTATCAAGACATAAAAAGGTATGCTATGTATATCTGTTTTATGAATTATATTCACTTACCTCAAGTAGAACAGGCATCGATCGGGAGTAAGTATCAAATCATGATTTTTGTTAATGAGAATGTAAAAGCATAATTAAAACTGTTGTCTCTACACTTAGAAATCTCTTGTCAGTGTAAATACTTATATTATTCTAGATGGCTTAGGGAACTCGAAGGTTCATCGCCGAATTAACCAAAATCCTCCATCGAACCCTGTCCTGGGCCAACAAATTCTCCCATAGATCCCGCCTGACATTATCCTCCCATCTACGTCTAGGTCTCCCCAGCGGTCTCTTCCCTTCAGGCTTCCCAACCAATACCTGGCGCACACCTCTTGTCCCATCCATGCACACTTCATGCCCAGCCCATCTCATTCTTCTCGACTTAATCACCCTGACATTACTGGGGGAGGAGTACAAATTTTTAAGTTCGTCATTACATGTTAGAACTGTTTTAGGCTCCAGATACGCTTTGCAGGACATCTTGTTTCCGTATCATACAGGACAATTTAAATGTACTTAGCAGCTTTAATAAGTTTCTGTTTTATTGAATGTAGAAAATTGAGACATTTACCAAATGACAGAGTTTACCTCAAGGTTGCATTAAAATTGCTGTCTTTGCTCCTTTGATAACATGATTGGTGTTCCAACACTGTCATGTCCTGTTGAAGTCCTAAGTATGCCCTCTTCCACTTTCTGTTTGATTCATGCAATGCAAATCTTCAGCACCCAAGTACCATTCAGCATAGGATACATTGTATCCTTCCTAAAGCCCTAAAACAAGAAGTTCTGTGACCCTGCCAGCCATGGGATTGGACCATCACAGCCAGGATAATGCCCATCAAAGATTTTTATTGATGTATCAAGATGCAAGCATGCATTAAGTCCAAAAAAGATTTTTGGGATGTGGAAGTTTTACATTTACAGTTGTAATAGAATTACAGATAAATGTTTCATTTCTAAGTTTATAATTACTCTATATTATATTGATGTTTACTATTATACATTGTAGAATTTCAGACGGTTTTTTGTTGCGGTACTAAAATGATACTTTTGAGTGTCGGTAAACAAGGTGGTTACTCAGAATATATCATTAACTTTCTTAGTTATATTTTACCTTTTATTCCTCTCATATTTATTGGACAATCGCCTCATAAATATGTAATCCACATGAAAACCTAAATGAAGTACAGGCGTACCTCGGAGATATTGCGGGTTCGGTTCCAGACCACCGCAATAAAGCGAGTCACACGAATTTTTTGGTGCATATAAAAGTTATGTTTACACTATACTGTAGTCTATTAAGCGTGCAATAGCATTATGTCTAAAAAACAATGCGAGAATTACCAAAATGTGACACAGAGACACGAAGTGAGCACACGCTGTTGGAAAAATGGCGCCGATAGACTGGCTCGACGCAGGGTTGCCACAAACCTTCAATTTGTATAAAACCGCAATATCTGCGAAGCGCACTAAAATGAGGTATGCCTGTATATGAATGTTGAATAAAGATTAAAATGTACTTCTGTTGCAGGGGTGTTTAGAAGACCTGGAGAAGTGGCTCAAGGATGACACCGCGGTACTTATTGGCCTTGGTATTGGAATAGCTTTCTTCCATGTGAGTAAATGTTTTTTTAGAACTACAGTGGAACCTCTTTTAATTGACCTATGTGGGGGGAACCATAGGTCGGATAAGCCGGTAAGTCAGATGAGAGAGTCATGGATATGACAAAAATAAGTACAAGACAAAGATATAATTAGCAAAGTTGAAACAAAAATATGTAATTCATTGTTATAAATACTGAAATATACAGATATTCAATACAGAATTTCCTCGGCAGATGATGCGGGCATTTCGCACGCACAAGACGACGGCGAAAGAGTCACTCGTGAGCGCTGTTTGAGGAAGTCGATGTATTAAAATAGTGAATTTATCAGTCATTCTGAGTCGCTGCCCATCACATGAAGTGGAGGTTCTGGTGTGATTCTGCTGTCGGTCGATTTGCTTGCTCACGTTTAGAAACCGGTCGCAACCGATCTGATTGAAATTCGGTCAGTTAATGCAGGAGTCGAGGGTCGGTTAACGGAGGTTTTACTGTACATTGTAATGTGAGTTTTGAAAATACTAGAATTCTTGTATTTGTAGTGTCAGTTACATGTTTAGTTTCTTGGAGGTATGATGTATGGTAATCTGACGTTGAATTGGGCCGGTATAACCCCTACTTCACGTAGAAGTTGAATTAAGATTAAGCTTTTTAGAAAATGAGTTGTCATACAGAATATTTCACATGGTAATAAATATCATTGAGATTTAAAACTTTTATCTTAAGCATTTATCACTTTGGCATGTGTTAAGAAAATAAAGGGAAAAATAAATTCTAACCAATTGAATCTGGCATGAACGTGTTGTTATTGTTGTAACATTTCTGGTATAGGCAATGAGTTGAGTTCGTACATGGTGATGTTCCTAGCTCCCGTTACCATCATTTACATTGATAAAATTGTGTAAAATACCTTAGAAACAATCAAAACTGTTTGTTCTGAATCTTCCAGATGCTCGGGATGATATTCTCTGTCACTCTTTGTCGAAATCTGGGCGCTGGATTGGCACAAGGGCACTGAAGACATTTGTAAAAATTACCTTTTTGAAGAACGTCATCATCTCTGGCAAAGAGACTGTTAATAGGAACGCAGTCTGTTTAAATAACTGCCGGAATCATTTTATATGTGAGTGGCCATTTAATTATGAACCTAAACTGTAGTGGTGTGACTGAACGAATATTTCTGTATCTGAAAGTAAATTGGGTACAAAATATGTTGTGATGTGCTCGTTGCCGTAGGATTCATTGATGTTTCAGTCGGCCAGAATGAGTATATACGTGAAACAGGAAATAAGAAGAAGTGGTATGTTAAATGTCACTGTAAGGGAGATGAATAAAAGATCCAAACTGCTGTTCTACTGTTTAATGTCAGTTTATTTATAAGGCTGTGATTTACATAATGCAAATTTTATTCGTTCTTTTTATATTGTCAGTACTGTACAAAATTGGACTTGCGTTCTGGGAGAAATTATACTTCATTGTGTTTAAATACTTAATAGGAGGTGGACTGATTGGTGATGTTAATACTGTATTGACCAGAGACAAATGTTCGTAGCTGAAGGTAAAGAAATATGTACTGTGTCTTCATTTTAAGCTGATGACATATAAGATGTTTATGTGGAGATAACAATTATGTAGATGTAGCACACCTTCTTCCTTGAGTCGTTTCCACACTTGTGATTCAACTTTTTCTTACGAGTTTCCAAGTGTCTCTATCTGCCCATTCTCCAGTCTTATCTTCTCCTCTCTCATAACTTGGTCTGCCCGTTGTACGTGTGGTCTGCCCCTGTGTCCTCTTTAACTTATATTTATTTCTAATAATATTTTTGGTGTTCCATGCTCATTCATTCCTTTAAGCATGTCTTAACCACGTCTGTGTACTTTTCATCTGGTTCTGTAATTTGTCCATCTTGAGATCTCCCATAATGTATGTACAGCTAGCCCTCGATTTACGCCGGGGATGTGTTCCTGGACGAACCGGCGCGATCGGATTCGGCATAAATTGGAATGATTTTATAATGTAAATCAATGGGAAGTCAATGACATGCGTTCCCAGCACCCAAACATTGACAGGTAATATAATGGCATCACATTTAAAGCTCTGAAAGAACATAAATAAAATAAAAGGAATTTAAAAAATATATTTTATACACTTGCAATCGGCGATGGCGTGATGAAGCAGCGTTAGTTCTCTGACGAAGTCCCTGGTTGAGGATCGTCGTCTTTTTTAAAGAAGGCATGCAGTGTGGACTGTCGTGATTTCTTCTTCCTCATGGATGCCATAACTCTCCTCTTTGCTGTAGCACAAGAGCAAACTCGCATATGCAAAAGTTTGCATTTCACAAACAGCTTTTACCTAATTCATTGATCTCATTGGAGCAAATTTGCGTTAACGAAACATAACGTAATTGTAGAGATGACTGTATTTATAATTTTTATTCAAAATCAGCAATGTAAGAATTACGATTTAGTATAAGAAGCAGTACGAGAAACATTGTAAAACGTTGTTAATATTAGTACAATTTTTTTTTCACGTTCTGGTTTCAAAATCGGCGTTATTCTGAATCAGCAAATATTGGACCGGCAAGAATCGAGGGCTACCTGTATTTCCAGTTCTCTCTCCTGGTTTTTTCCACTATTCTGCTCGTTAATTTAATCTAAACTGCTTGCAGTTTACATTCCTCTGTCAGTACATGTCCATGTCTTTGCTTCATATATTAAACTTTTTAAAATACACATTGTACATTGTAATTTTACAGTTTCTGTCTATATCTTTATTGAGTAATAAACTCATTGTGACGAACTGATGGTATGTTATAACATCATATAATTTCCTGGAACTCCAGTTGATTGAAAATATAAATTGATATGATATAAGAACACTTGTAATATGTAAGTTGTTGTCAAAAACTAAATTTAAATTAATCACAAATCAAGAAATGTTAATTAGCTTAGTCTCCTTAATTTCTACATTCACGTACATCAAATGGACAATTTATCTGTTGTAGTGGTAATGCTTGTGCCTTGTATTAAGATCATTATTGTCCTTCCTAAGACACTTCTACTTTAAGTCGATCATCTGACATCTGTATCTAAGCTAAAGCTAAAGCTCTTTCTCAGTTTCTTCCCATGTTGGCTACTTCCTTCCCTTTCCTTTCTAATATGTTGTATCTTTCTTGATCTCAGTCTCCTTGGAATATTTCTTTTACTTTCATTTTTAAAACCTTTAAAATTCTCTTAATTTGTAAAGTGTCTGTACCATTTTATAATTTGTCTTCCAAGATTCGTAGTAGGATTTGAGGTTTTCACAGCGATGAGTCTCAAGATGGCTGTCTTCTGGGTTGTGCCGTGTAGTCTGGTAGAAGTTTGAGGACCTCAGAAATATCTGTAAACTTCTACGAGACTACACGGTGCACCAACCCAGAAGACGGCCATCTTCACAAGATTCTTCATAATTTTTTTGATTTCTTATTCTACTTCTTTGGGTTTTTCCTTCTATTTTTTTATTCTCATCTGTTCTGCCAGTAATCTGCTAATATCTGCCTTGGTCCAGTCAAGTTACTGTTCCATACATTAATATGGGCATTTTTCCCCCTCTTAGGCATTCTCCACTTCCAAAGTATACCCCTCACTGATTAGTAAAATTTTCCTGATGAAGGAGATATGTGGTTTATATCTCAAGTGACCAAGCGTCGTGGTCGAGTGGTTAGCAATCCTGCTTCATATTCCGGAGATCCTGGGTTTAAATCTCAGCTCAGAGACCGGCTATCCTTACAGGTTTTTTGTGGTTTTCCTCAGTCCCTTCAGGCAAATGCCAGCATAGTACCTTAAATTATGCCATGACTCCTTCCACATCCTTCACAATTCATTATTCACTGTCGTCCTCTCATTCGACTGTATGGTCTGAGCTACTGGAAAGCTTCATTAAATAATATAAATAAATCTCAAAGCAATAAATTTGGGATTTTTTATGACATTCCATAATTTTTCTAGGTAAATGTTACATTCTTCATACATAGTCTCATCTTACGTTATTTGATGATGATGTACAAACCAAATAGATTTGTGTTGTGGATGCTGGGCTAGAATGAATGTGAAATTAAGTAATCTTTGACCATTGTTAATGTACATTATGGACCAGTAATCCAGAACAAGACAGAAGCTCTATGAATGTACGTTGTATGATTTGCTACATATCAGAATGTATCGCTAGTTTCGCTGCATCTGTTGTTACGTCAAGTGACTGCAAAAGTACAATGAACAGAATTTAACCTTACGCAGATTTTATCCGTTCATGTACAAAAGGCCACAGTAATGGATCAAATTTTAAAGCAGAGAAACAAATACTTTAAAATTTGTAAATCGACCGCCAACAAAGCGCGCGGCACGCGGACAAATTTGAAGGAAGTGCGTTGCAGTTGGTAGTGCTCCCAAAGGGATGTGCAATCTTCATGGAAAGGTGTTTTATGTCCAGAAGATCTAAGTTACCGCATTCTTCAACGCTTTCAAGATTTGTGCTTGTGTTGGCTTCTGAAGGAGATCTTTTTCATCATTTACCGAGACGTACAGAACCTTGTGAAACTTCACATATGTAATAAACAGTGTAATACTTGACAATAATTGAATGATGTTTGAAAATTTTAAATATTTTAAATATGCCTTCTTATTGACGACTTGCACATTTAGCACGACTTATGTGTCTCGTTGCGTTCTAACAATAATTAATTAATGTATTAAACTACTTGTAGCTGCTTCGCAATGATCTGTACTGAACTGCTCTAATATTAGCTTAACATTTAGCGGGACTTCGAATCAGTTATACTTTAAATGTAAGTTAGAAACGATGACATAAACTGTAACTATCGGTGATTCAGTGCCAAGAGTTTTGAAGTTGAAAACTGAATTGTGAATTTTTTTTAGAAGATGCTAAAGGAATTTGGAGTTTCTTCTTCCAGTTATGTAAGTTTCATTTCTGTATACTGTTTAAATTTTTTAAAATAAATATTTGAACTAACACAAGATTTTCAGGATACTTGTAAAAGTAAAGTTGTTCTTGTGCCGTAAATAGCCGATCATTCTTTGATTGAGGCATTAGATGGAGTCGAATGGCCACTTTACCCTCACTTTGACGTTTTCACGGCGGTGAGTCTCAAGATGGCTGTCTTCTGGGTTGTTGCGCTACGTAGTCTGGTAGAAGTCCTTGCTGCCTCCATCATCAGCAGCAAGGACTTCTACCAGACTACGTGGCGCAACAACCCAGAAGACGGCCATCTTCCATTCAACTTGTTAGGCTGCAGTGAGGTTTGTAAAGACTGGTCATTTTTTGTATCAAATTTCACTTTCTCTTTGAAGAAGTGTTACAAAAAAAAGATTGTTCTTTCCTTCATCCCTCAAAATAAACAGTGAATGTTAAATAAGACGATTGCCCAGGTGGCTGAATCATGTCTGTAGTAAAAGAAAAGTGTGTGATAAATATGAAAAAATGTTTGATATATGGTACAAGCCACGTGTGTTTACTTATTTTTCCAGTACTGTATTTAGTTATTTGTATTTCCTGTCTTTTATGGAAAACACAGATTTTTTACTATCTTCACAATAGCGTGTCCTGAGCCAGATTAATCCAGTGTACATTCTTCTACCCTGTTCCTCTAAAATCCATTTTTATGTTATCCTCCCATTTACATGTGGCCTCTTGCCTTCAGGGTTTACAGTAAATTTTTTGTGCATTTTTGAGCCCCCATCATGTGCGTGCTACATTTCCTGCCAATCTCGTCCTTACTGATTTGGTCATCCTAATATCTGGTGAAGAGCGCAGATCATGGAACCTCTCCTTTTCCAGTTTTTTTTCCAGCCTCTTAGATGCAAGTATTCTCTACTCGTTCTCGGTCTGCGTACTTCCCCTGATGTCGGAGATAAATTTTCGCCACAGCATCCGAAATTGCTGCTGTATTGATTTAAAGCAGTACGTCAGCTGTAACAATGAGTTATGGCTGAAGTAATCAAGTATTGTCATTGGTTCAGTCGTTTTGTTCGTAAGGGGGTTTGTTTTAAATGGAACACCCTGTATTTTGAAAGCATTCATTTTATCGGCACTAAATCGAGCGTTGGCATACAGAATTATGACAGTAATTTTACGAGCGATGAAACAACAGAATAATACCGGTGTTGGTAAAGCAGGGGTGATAAAAGTGTGTTATGGTACCTTAAGTCTACCTGTAATGTGTATGTAATGGAGCCTGTAACAGGCAAGAGCTCAGATCGAATATTGCTAACTCTTTGAAATGGTTATCTAAATAATGTTTAAAAATTAAGTTCCTACTTTAAAAATAAAATGATGCGTTTCCCTTACAGATATCAATTGGTAATGCTATTTAAGGAAATATCAATTTCTCTTCTGAGAATTGTACAAAATCTATAAATACACTCTGTTAACATAAGTCAAGAGTTAATATTAACGCAACGTATTAGTTACCACTGTGCTTTAAAGGATAAAATGTTTGGCATTCGAATCTTTGCATGAAGGTCATATGTCGTAATTTAAATTTTACGTGACTTTCCTCAGTCCTTCCAGGACAATTAACAGGTTGTCTTAAAAGGCTTCATTTCACGTGCTTACCAATAAATAATTAGTAATCATCATACTAGTCCACGTTGTAATCTGTGCGTTTGGAGAAGTCATTTAATAACCAATGAATCAATAATTCGTGAAAGTTCATCCACTAAAGAGACTGACAGACTCCAATTTGGAAAGACCAAGGCTCCTGGCATTTGTGTCTATGAAATTTCATTTGAAGTTCAAGAATTTTTGTTTTATTTACGTACGCTATCAGTAGTTCAGATTATATTTAGTCAAATGATAGGATGGAGAGGAAGTGAACGAATGGGGTCATATTTTAAGGTACTATCCCGAAATTTGCCTTGAGGGACAGAAAGGATGGTCTCCAGGCCGAATTTTGAAGCCGAGAACTACTGAATACGAAACTGGAATGCTAACCACTCGGCCGCGATAAAAAAAATCTGTTGTGTCTAGTTGCAGGAGAAATTTGTACCTGTTAAGAATTTCTTGAATTTGTGGTTGATTTCAGATTGTTATTCAGACTTGCATTTATTAGGTCGCCTATCCCACTTAAGACGCTGATAATGTATCTCAAAATAAATAACTCACACTCAGAAACGCCCTGATCAAGACATGTATTTTTTATTAAATTAGATAACGCAGTAGGACTAATCATGTTAGCTGTCGCTCAATACGTGAGGGGTGGGTCTGTACAGCTGATAGGTGGATTTACGTATGTGGCCTTTTTATGAAACATCTATCAAAGGCAATCGATATTTACCCGAGTTCAACATTTCGATCGACCAGCTTCAGACTTGTTTAAAATTCGTTACTAATAAGCGTTTATCCTTCACATGGGTGCCAAATCAACAGCGTATTTAGCTTCAGATAATATTCTATGGACTATGCACCAAAAAAATAACATCTTTGGCTTCCAAGAGTTTTTCCCCCCTTGACACGTGCAATTGATAGAACAGACTTTGTGTAATGTATTTTGCGCGTTTCATTTCTAACGGGAGACTAGCAAAAAATTACACTGTTACTGACATGTATTTAGCTGATGATTTTAAATTTTGCGCCATTAGGTTGGTTGTGTTGGTACTCAACTCCAGTGCAAGATGGCGTGTTGGAAGGGCGCGTCTTTAAGCTTTGTATGAAAAAGTATGTTTTTGGCTTTTCTCTTACGATTTTATAGGAGCTATTTATCAAAACTGGCTATCTAAAGTTGGTGATCAGTTCATGGAAACATATATTCAGTGAAGACTTTTAACGTAAGTCATATTTAATACTAATTACTTCGATCAATGTTTCTTGCTTTTAAAATATGATTTAGATAAGAATAGCAGCCAACTTTGGGTTAAATTACATTGTAGGTTTGAGTGTTAACCTTATTATACAGAATAGCCGATATGTTTAACGCTGGATTTAGTGTTTTCGTAATTAATTATAAAGCTACCTTAACATTATATTTTTAACTTGGTCATTTGTGTGTTCTGTTTAACAATTCTGTACCCAATAAGTTGTTTATCACGATAAAACTGCATGTTCTGTAATCGTTATTGGTAAACATAATAGTAGTTCACAAGAGGAATGGAAGTGTCATTTTTCCCAGGGCCTTAGCCAAACATTAAGGCAATCAAATCAAGGATTATGAGATGGGCGAAGAATGTAGCACGTGTGTTAGAGATGGGACATATACTATACAAAATTCCAGACGGAAACACGAAGGGAAGAGACAATTTTGGAGACCTAGGAGTTTATGGGAGGATAGTATTAAAACTGATCTTAAATAATAACATTAAAATTGATCTCAAACAAATAGGACTGATTTAATCTGGCCTAACACAGGGTCCTGTGATAGAATGTTACCGAGTTCGTGAATAAAGGATCCAAAACTACCCTTCGACAGATCCCGTTCAACACCCACAATAGTTTTAGACAAAGTTTAGCACAGACTGATCGCCAACTTCAGAACCGCTATCACCTGCAGTGCTCTGTCGAATCACGGTGTGTACTGCCCTGGGGTCAGCCAACCGACCATCTGTTCCTTACAGACGTTCTCGTTCGTTGACTGAGCTCGCGAGATGACGACAATCCGTTAGGTTACAAGTAGATACTCCGTAACCCGAGCGGACATTTTTGACACGAAAACGGACGGGGGATGGATCACTATCGATCTCGGTATTAGATAGAGTGAAAGAGGCCTTACAAGCAATTGGATTGGGGATTGGTTAGAACTCAGAGCCCGGTCTCGACGTGTTAGCGAAAGAACAGTCCCTTTGCTGTGCCGGTATTCGAACCCCATTCCTCTAGCCCGTGGCCGTGCGTCACGATTTCAGGTGTTAAAATCTCAGCGTCGATGAAACTGAGAAATTGTTTGTGAAATAACAGTTCAACAAATTCTGCACGCTGCTGGTATTTATAGCGGTTTATAATAATTCTTCAAGATTTTATTTTATTTCTGAGAAAAAAAAATATTAAAAATCCAGTTACTTGAAATGGGATGTTTAATTATGCGCCACTGTGCAGTTACACTGAACCTTAACGGGTTATTATGACGCTATATTCAAAATGTATTCTCTGATTCATATTGATTTCGAGCTGACAGAGACTAGTTAAGTTCTTTAAAAAGTTTAGTGGAGTCCTAATTGTAATTTCCAAATTTTGCATAGGGTTAAAGGGAGATGTGATTAGGAAACTTCTAAATTGTGTGTGTGTGTGTGTGTGGATTAACATTCGTGATAGAGGAAATTTAGGATTACTAATAGGAAATCTTGATTATAACTCTTTCTACCAAACGAACACCCCCACATAAGCATCCACCAGTGCCAAATTCAGCTAATCTTCGAATTGGATAAGTAACTACACGGAAAACTGGGAAGACGCTGTGAAGATGAACTGGGGAGAAAAATGATAAGAACAGGATCTCAGGCCCTTTTGAATAAGCATTTATCTTCCGACAAAATATCAACTGCGATCGGGCACAAATTCAGTTTGTCTCGTGACGAAAGAAGGAAATTTACTGCTAGGGTGTGGTCGGTAAACGTTATTGAAAGCAATTTTGCACGAAATATCTAGTATACCTTACTGGATGTTGTTCATCGGTTGGCAACCTTCTTTTTCGTGGAAAAAATACCCCAAGGACCAAGGTCGACCCTATTAGAAGTCGATTAACAGTAAACTAGTACCATAGAAACAGAGTTAGAGATGTAATATTTGGGGCTCATCGTGAATTTTGGCAAAAATTATACTCATTAATTTTCTGACAAAGAACGCCAATGACGTCACTACCATCAACAACAATAACAGCAAAAATATCTTAGACTGAAAACGAAAATGTTATCAGCAATTGTATTTTTTTAATCTTGTAAATTATATATAAAATCCAGGCGCAGTAACTGTAGTTAATTGGAATTCCAACAACAAGTAACTTAAGATGGTAAAGTTTTGTCATATTGTGATATAATAAGTATATATTAAATTTCTTGTCCGTCTAATCACAATAAATTCTTATTAAATATTACAATAATTAACATTTAAAATATTTAAAATATTAAATGATGTTCTTTATCGAAATATTCGATTTACATTAGACCATCATTTTTCATGTTTCACGACATGTTTCAGTTCCTAAAACAAGTAACTTTTTAAAAGTTCTGTGTCTTAACTGAAGAAAAGAAAATCAACTTGCCTACGTTTATTTAAGGAAAAATCAGAACACGAAGTGATCTGGATCTTCGTTTCGAGCGCATAACACAAACAGAATAGAAGTTACAATTTTTTGTGCGCGCGTTGTGTCGCGAGCTGCAAGAAAGTGTTCTGGACAGCCTTGATGCGCCAGTACGTGGCACGGAACAGGACGACTTGCCGCAAACCCGGCCGAACAAATGTTCGTCGGATCCATCAGTTGTGCTGCCGAGTCGCGGTAGGAAGGACAGTGACTGGAGTAGAGGGTTGTCTGTCCGAGCTGAAGCAGGACCAGGTAAGAAACAGTGAGAAGTGTCTTGTGAAGTGTGTTAGTCAAGTGTTTTGCTTCTTAACACAACGAAAAGTGTTCATATCCCATTGGACTGAGGTAGGTGGTACGTTTCATGAACAAGGTAAACGTTCGGTTTAGAGGTTAACAAAATTGTCTGCTTCGTCACTACAAAGCAGTACTTTTATGAGGAAGTTACTATCGCTTGGTTTTTACGTTGCTAACATCTGTTTGTGTGTTCGTATTTAAGTTGATGAGTAATTGAAGCATACACGAATTTTGATTCGTCATTGTGGTTGCAAGAAACGAGCAAGTTATATATCTATTTTATTTGCAGAAACAGCTAGCTGCTTTTGCGATTTTAACGCGGGAAATCTTATTTTATTACGTAGGTACTTGAATCATTTGAATAAATCCCCTTCGCAGTGATTGGTGTATTATCAAAAGTAGTTCATCACACTGGGATTGGGTGTGTGAACATTATTCTGTTCGATGTACAATAATTGAAATGCAAATACAGTTAAGGGTGACTTGAGATTTTAATGCCGGCAAATATAAGATTACTTGTATTCTGGGATATAGTATCGTGTAGTTTGGTAGAAGTTCACCGACATTTCGTAACAGCTTACTGACTCCATCATCATGGCGATGGAGATGCATCCAGCACAAATGAAATGTCGGTAAACTTCTATCAGACTACCAGAAAACAGTCATCTTCATGGGGTAGAATGATTTATACATCAGATTTGATTCATCATCTCCCCAGGTGGAAATTTATTTTGCAATTGTACTCGTTCTGTTGTCCCAGTCACCTGATAGCTGAGAGGCGTGTTTACAAGAGACGATGGTTTCAACCACCAGAAATATCAGGGGTGTAGAAATGATACGCGTTTCTTATAGGAAAACAAATTAAGTGAATTGGCCTCCTGCTATGTCCATCCGCTCACCGAGTGTAATAAATTTCTTGATATCCCTAGATTCGACTCCAGTTTGAGTGACAGTAGATGCATTTACTAAACATTGCGTTTTATGAGTTAGTCCATTTTTATAGTTTCTAGATCGTATTTTATTTACGTACAGATAATGATCATACCGTGTTACTGTGCCTGAATGTAGTTCAATTCTTCTCCGCGTGACGAGATCTAAAAATGTTTTGCTTGTTAAATTCAGTTATAATGGAAGGTTATGATGTTTGTTAAACGTAACAAAGATCACTTAAATATTTTAGTTATTAAAATGTTCATATCTGTTACATTAATAGCCTCAAAACTTGTTTTTATAAAGAATAATACTCGATTTTATCATCAGTCGACTTTAATTGTATTAAGGAAAAGCAGACGCTACAAGTAATGTATTTTACGTAGAAAATGAAGACGGAAGTTTGTCTACGCAGACAGGGCCTACATTTAAAGAGAATTTGGGCTTTGAGCCTGTGTAACTTATGACAAAAGGAACAAAAATTTAACATATTGCACTTTCGCGTGTTATTACGAACATAAGCTGTAGATAATTCACAGAAATTTAACAGACCTGTTCTATCTAATTCCTCATTTGCTGACATAGTTAATTTAGTGATGTGGTATGTCCAAGTTTTACAAATAACAATAGCGCATGTAGGCCGTGTTATGCGGTGTATAATGGGTCAGAATTATTGCTTTAGGCCTCGTTGCAGAAATCCAGAAGCCATTAACAGGTAGCCAAATGTGTCATGAGCTAAAATGGGCGATGTTAATGTCTGTTGGACATGTGAAACTGTTACATATTATCGATATCGTATTTGTCTACTGGAACTTGAAATGTGTTTTGTTTCGAACGCAACCTTGAAACGCATGCCAGCGATATGGATGCCACTTTTACAACTGCCCTGTGTGACAGTAGTTTTGCGGGTTATACCATGTTTGCATGTTCGCAGTTTACGTAAGGTTTGTAAAGACAAATTGCTTGTCTAAATTAATCTCTAAGTATTGATACAAATTGTATCTAACGTCGCACTCTTGCTTCGTATTCAGGAGGTTCTGGCATTCAAATATTGGCCGAGACCGATTATCTTTAATGAAATACCAGTATGGTATCTTAAAATAGGCTACGACCTCTTCTTTCCAATTTTTTTTATTTATTTTATTTAGTGTTCTGTCTGACGACATGTCCATATGAACAGGATCCTTCCATCCTTTTCTCGGACTGGGACCTGTTCATATACGTTCTTGGCAGATGATCCAGAAGTGGTTTGCCATTGCCTTCTTCTGTGTGTGAATGGAGTAATTGTTGGGATGCCACGGAGGAAAACTCCGTGTTGCCTAGACACGGCCTTGCCCAACACAAGTTATAAATTCGGGCACCGCCGGGAATCAAACCCAAATTACCATATATTAATTAATAATCTTATCATGCTATGTAGTCTGAGCTGCTGACAGATTCGTTAAATATACCAAATACAACTCAACACAAAATCTGTTAAACTTAATTAATCTTATATGAATCCCTTCACTATAATGAAACCTCTCAGAATTATTCCGAAGGAAAGAAATAGCATTTTTAGCTTTTCGAAACTTAAACAATTAAATGCTGGATTTAGTTTCCTTATGAACAAATAATTAGTGACTGCTGGGTTAGGGGTTCGAATTCCTCCTACGTCATGGATGTTAATAAGCATATTTTATCTTTGTGACTCATTATCTCTCGCTCCAGCCCACAATGGAGTTTCTGATAAAATCATACAGGGATAAGTAATCCCGAGAGTTGAGATAACCTGATAAAATAATCGAGACTACAAAGTGTAAAAGTCATGTATTGAATTACAGTTTTAAATTGATGGCTCATATGCCAGTGGGTGTAAATGGTGAAACTTATTACAAAGAAACAAAAAGTTTTAATAATTTAACTGCATTAAATTTATATCGAAGGTAAAGACACGAGAAACTTAAAAAGTAAAAAAAAGTCCTTGTATTGAAACTCGGTGAATCAGACGTAGTAACAACTGTCACTCAATGCCCCACGTAAATTATACGTCTCTTACGTACATTTAAACTTGACAGACCTGAACCTCTCCAGATCCCAAGCAGCACACAATTAAACTAAACCAAGGCAAGACAGTCCAGGGTCCAAGCGATCTTCAGCATTGGGGCGGTTTCTTAGTTGTGTGGGTAGGATCTTGATCGAGACTGGCCGATCGGCGGTCCGAAGGATCCTTTAAAAGTCTCCAAATCACAGGAATACCTCGGAGATATTGCGGGTTCGGTTCCAGACCACCGCAATAAAACGAGTCACACGAATGTTTTGGTTTCCCAGTGCATATAAAAGTTATTTTTACACTATACTGTGGTCTATTAAGTGTGCAATAGCATTATGTCTAAAAAACAATGCGAGAATTACCAAAATGTGACACAGAGACACGAAATGAGGACATGGTTTTGGAAAAATGTCGCCGATAGACTTGCTCGACGCAGGGTTGCCACAAACCTTCAATTTTGAAGAAAAACGCAATAAAACGAGGTATGCCTGTATATATTCTATATAGACAACGGTCTGGATCCGTCTTATCCAGGTCTCTAATCAAACTTGTTTTGTGACATCGTGTTTGTTACCAATATTTTCGGAGGACAATCTACAAGACTACACGATGTCACAACACAGAAGGCCGCAATATGAATTTTTCTTACCGAGAACTAACATAAATATCGAAAAGTTACTTACGTCAACAAATAACGCATTTAAGATATTTGGGGGGGGGGGGTATAGTCTACCTGTTTGATTTTGAATTATTTCAGTAACTCGGTTACTTATTTCCGACGTCAAATTTTGTTTGGTGTTCAGGATTTTTTTGCGGGGGGAGGGGTGTGTACAGCTGACCAGTCACCACTTAGTGCCGAGGTTGACAGTGCGTGGAACTGACCTCCACTTCCCCATACGTCTGCAAGGCACGGTGTTTAGTTAAGCATCAGGGATAATGTACCTTTACCTGTACAGATTTATGAGTGATTATAAATTAGTACGTAATTGTGAGACATTTTATCGAATGCTGTCCATTGATGTAAGTCAGTTTCAAAGTAATGTTTAACGCTTTCTGATTTCGTCATTTTATGCACCAACGCCTGCGGTACGTTTCATTCTTGATACAGAACGGGTCAGATGCAGCTTTTTTTTTAGAACTTAATCCCATCTGAACGATAAATGTGTGTCCAAAATGTACACCAAATTCTTTAAGCGAAATTAACAGATTTAATCGGTTAAATTTTACCTGGTTTAAAAATTTCACAGCATCTTATTTCCCATTTTCGTTTTAGTGTTAGAAACGTTCATAGAAAACTGTTTTGTTATTAATTTTATTTTATTTATTTTTAACCCGAAACTCGTCAAAATAATATGCAAAATTTTTCTCCGTACCGCGAAGAAAACACAAAACTTTACCATTAAAAAAATTAGCTGGTTTACACTGTTTAAAGAAATAATCCTTGTTTACACTGAGAATAATTCGAAACCGATAAATACAAAATTCGGCGTGAATTATTGTTAAAACAGATATTACATACTGTTGCAATTCGGCTTAAAGGGTTAAGTCATCTGCATTATAAATTATATATTTCATAAAGTTGAACCAACTTCATTTTACCTTTTCGACACATTATAGAGGCCTGTTTATTACAAAATAAAACGACAAATTATTTTGGATATGCTATGGGCCAGTATCCATTGTCTTAGCAAACTTGACATCAATAGTTTTCTTCGTTGGCTCTAGGATTGGAATTTAGAAACCTCTTTAACAGATAGAAGACAGTGATTGTGTTGCGCAAATTATCGAGCATCTGTGTAATGTGCGTTCAGTTCTCGGCGTTGGGCTGCAATTTCTCTTAACGTACCTGAGTAGGTTACGGTTGACTAACTCAAAGAACTGTACCTGGTGTTATAAAGAACTGTGTTTTTGTTACACCTTTTTCTGGTCTGTAAATAGTTAGTTACAGGTTCAGCTGTACGAGGTGCGATCGGAAAGTTTCAGGACTATGTCAATA